ATCAATTTTGCATTGTATAAATTCACTTTTTTCCACATCCTACATGTATTCGTTAAATGTAAACAATGTTTGTAAATCCCAGGGCCTGAAGATGATCTCAATAAAGATCGAAACGTTGGCACGATAAAGAAAATGTTTTTCTGAAACCTACATCACACCAGACCGCATCTCACGATTTCGGAATGATAAACTATAACATTTAATCACTAAGAAACAATAGTATTGAAGATTTAGGAAATTGTGGCTCATAATAATTATTATTATTTTTGACGTTTCAGTCCCCATGTACTCCTGAGTTAACCTGTCAGATGCATTTCACCTTCTCAAGATCTTCCATGGCATACAAAACATACACTAACTGTTTTCTCACTTTTTGTAATGGTTCTTCTATCACTATACTCACCATTTCTATGACTTCTTCATCATTTCTATGACTGTATACTAATGTCGATGCAAATCCGAAATGAGTCGCAAAAGGAAAAAAAAAACAGTGAGTCAACGTAGACGATAATGATCGGAAACGGCCAAACTAAGTACATAAGAATGTATTAAATTTAGTACTTTTTATATTGCACGCTAAATCCAAACCGCTTGGCCGCTAGAATAGTTTGTTCATATTAACGTTGAAAAATAAACAAAAAATAACATTTTGTCTGGTTGGTGATGAATCTACTGTTTGGTCTCTTTTAATCGTTTTGGCCCGCATGTAGCCAAGATTGAGTAGGTTTTCCAGGCGTTTAGGTTTCTCATCACATCACCCTAAGGATGGGAAGAAGTCTAAAAAATGCTTCAAAAATACCAAAACATTTAAACTATGCAGACCAAAATGATCGGATAGGATAAGAAGAAAAATAGGAATGTACTAATTTTAGTTCATTTCATACGTCAAAATTTCTCACTTACATAATAATTCAATATTTATTTTGTCCCAGAATAAACCTCTAATAAGATCAACATGTGATAAACGTGTAGTTCGGACATTTATGTTCGTTTTGGTCTGCATAATCGCGTTCTGTTGCTTTCTCAGGCGCGTTTTAGCTTTTCGTCATCTTCAGTGTCACACAGACCTAAAATTAAGGATAGTGAGAGTGTTTTGCTGTAAAACAGTAACTGATAGGAAATGATGAAACTATAGTAAATAAGAATGTACTAATTTTAGTTCATTTCGTATTACTAGCTGGAATCAAACTGATAGGTCGGAAAACGATAAGATTGGTAAGACAACCTGTTCATATTAACAGTTAAAAAGTAAACATAAAGTAACAATGTGTCTGCGATGAAGACAGTTGGTCCGTTTCAGCGTGGCTCATGCAATGAACTAAAATTTGTAAAATCATATTTACTATCGTTGGATCGTTTCCGATTATTTTACTCTGCGTATCCTCGTTGTATTTATCTTTCCGATGCAATACGGCTTCTTGCGTTGTTTCGGGTCTGTGTATCACTGAATATGGCGATAAGTCGAAATGCGCCTGAGAAATTAAACCAGGATATACGGGCTGAACTACAGGTTGGTCACCAGACGACATTTAAAAATCTCACGGGTCGGGGTGGTAAATAATCCTTTTTCGGACCCGAAAGAACCAATGTGGAGTTGAAGTTTTAAGTTGAGGGTATTTGGAAGTACACGCTTTAATTTGTACGGAGACCCTTGTACCAAACGCGCCCGAACGCTTGGTAATTTTAGGTAAATTTTGATCGTTAATTACAGTAATGGAAAGTAGTAATCCTATAAAAGGAGACAATCCAGATTTGTTTATTTGTAGGTTATCATGGTTTTAAACTGAAATCGGGTTAAAACATGAAAGTTCAAGGGCAAGAGGTAGATAGTAGGAGTATTCACGATCTTTGTGTTAACCCTTTTAACTCTGTTAGATCGAGAAAAATGATGACGTAGACTTGTAAGAATCGGTTAGTTAACATTTCTCGATCTAACAGGCCAGGGCCAATGTTAGATGTTAGGTCGAAAATGTAGTCACATTGCTATCCGTTAAGGCGTAGGTAACCAACATGGGTAGCTTGTCCAAAGATGTTGGATATGTCCAGTGGTCGTTGTAATGTCGTGTATAAAGTTGAGTTTTGAATTGCTGCCTGGGTGTCGGGGACCAGGATTCAAACCGTTTACAATAATTTTGCATACTATTATCAATTAAAAATACAGAACGGGATTTGAACCGAGAACCGCTAGCGTGGCAAATTTAAGTCGGACGCCCTAACCAGCCGGCCATCGCGGTCCCGTAGTCAGCTGTATATATACAGGATGGGGCCAAGAATGTCCCCCTGAGCCTCTTCTCTATCCACACATCGATTAATTCTCGATCCCAATAAAAACAGAATAACAGGTTAGCTGATTGGCATTTAGCACATTTACCAAAAGTTCTCATATTAGGGGTATTCAAGAACTTTGTGTTAACCATGTTAACTCGATTAGGTCGTGCTAGATCGAGAAAAATGGTGACGTAGACTTGTAAAACTCTGCTATAAAATAAAGTTGTAGGCTGTTAGACGTTAGGATACAAGTTAGGTATGTCGGCAGGAATTGAAGAGTCATTTGTTAGTAATTTTCGAGTTCATAGATAACATTTTGAATGAAAGAATTGATTAATTTTCCTTTTTTTTATTAACTTCTGCCATCTTACAATTGAACACAAAGTAAACCCAAAACAAACGACAAGCCTTCAAGGACTGTTATAGCTTTATTTTTGGTTCTACCAATCGCCACGCGCAGCATTGCGGAAAAATGAACGTTTATCGTGCTAAGAAAAAAAAGGGGGCATTCACGATCTTACTGGACATTTCTCTATTCCAGTTAACACGAGTTAACATCTTACAAACATCGTGAATACTACTCTGATGTAATTACAGCAAATGTGTTAAAAAATACACGTTATTATTTAAATCAAAGTATTATAATAACAGGTTAGCTTTAATACCTATCTCTAGCTGAATTTGTTACACAAAACTGTTTCGAATGTTGAACACTAAGAGAAAATAATTTTGATATTTTCCTCTTTTTTTGGGCGAGGCAGATATTTTCCGTCGAACAAGCGGAAGCTCTTGTTTCAGAGTGTCGTAAGGGTGTACAAATCTGGTGGAGGGTCTGCGTTTCTCTGGTCCATTCAATTTGGCGGCTTATAAATCAATTACGTACCGCTATAAAGCGGGGAGCCTCTTCACGGTTTGGAAAGCTTCGTCTAATATTTATCGGGGTTCGTGTAGCTGGTCTTGTCCCGGCTAAAAGGTTGTCACCGTCCTCCCCTTACAAGGCCTCCCTCCGGCGACTCATATACAAGCCGATCTGCTCCCCGGCCACGTACTCCATTGTTCTCCTTTTGAATCTGTCCTCTCCTTTTTTAATTCGCTACGAGGTTAACATGTAATTTACAGTTGGACGGATCGTGTTTAAATACAACGGAATCGGATGCTGGCGCCCCTCCAAATCCAACCAACGCCGCATAAATATGCGTGCAGTTGTCATTTCTGACTCACGACCCGGGTGGGGGTGATGCCTTTTGAAATAATCTCCCATACTGGTTTTACGGCCTGTTGAAGTTTCCAGAGCGCTTAACGGTCGTAACTCTTTCTCATTTGCCTTCTTTATGCACCATTTCTTATATCTTTAAGCCGAAGGTACTAGGTAGTTACATAAGTTCTTGTCCCTGCAGCCGACCTCCATTTTAAAATCACTTCATAAATTCTGTTACAATATTTATTGTTAAAGTCTTCGCCATCCAATCTACAAATTGATAAAATTATTAATATAGATTTTCGCGGTTACCGACGATTTGAGAATGAATTAGATGTATTCTGTATTCATAAAATTTATATTTGACATATTTCCTCATTTTTGCTTGTCATATTTTATATACAGTTACAAATAAATGAAGAAAGCAAATTAGTATGATCGTTTTTGATCAATTTTTCTGTTGGCCGTAGTCTTTTAGTCTATCCGCCTTGTTTCTTTATCTTGTCATCTTCAGTGACACATAGATCCTATACCAAGGTCGGCGAAAAGCTGAAATGCAACGCAAAGACCAAAACAGTGAGACTATATAGTGACCGTTAATCGATAGTTATTCAGAAATCGTGAGATGCGGTCTGGTGTGATGTAGCTTTCAGAAAAACATTTTCTTTATCGTGCCAACGTTTCGATCTTTATTGAGATCATCTTCAGCGCCTGGGATTTATAAGCACTGTTTAAATTTAACAAATACATGTTGGATGAGGAAAAAAGTGAATTTATACAATGCAAAAAAATAATTCAATATTAAAATAGATTTAACAATTGAAATACAGACCGAACAATAAATATATCGAGAAGCAGAAATGCATCGTACTGCAGGTCGGCCGCGCAAACCAAATGATAGGAAACGATGAAACTATATTACGTAAGAATATACTAAAATTAGTTCATTTCATATTAAACCAGAAAACTGAACCGATTGGTAGGAAAATGATAAGGTTTGATGCTAAAAGATTCATGTGAACAGTTAAAAACTAAACATAAAAGATGGCGTCGGGGTGAAAAAACTGTAGCTCGATCGTTTCGGCTCACATATCTTGTTTTGACCTGTCAGACTTGTTTCGGCTTCTCGCCATCTTCAGTGACATAGAGACAGATCAATGAAGATAACAAGAAAGAGAAATGCCCGGCAAGGTTAGACGCTAGCCGCAGTTATGGGCTACGTAAACCAAAATCAGAGGAAACGATCCAACTAGTAAACAAGAATGTACTAATTTTAGTTCATTTCATATTACACGTTAAAACTAAACCGATTGGTGGGAAAATGAGAAATTTGTGGTTCACCAGTTCAGGAGGCCATGTCATAATCAGTACTTTACAGGGCCATAAAGATTACATTACATATTAAAAGATCTTGATGGAGCAAATTAATTCTTTGTAAATAAAAAATTATGAATGCTATATACTGTATATATTATTATATTACCGGTGAGTTTTTAATATTAGGTACCTAAAGATGTGTGTTTTATTCTGTCAGGGTAGCCCAGGACGGGAAAGCGGTTCGCCTAGATCTCCAGGGCCTCCAGCGGCTGCACCGCCAGGAAGGTGCTGCGAAACGGGCCGGCCTATATTTACGGACCCGATAACCGGCCATTCTGTCTGTTCGTGCCAGTACGATATGTTGGCGTATCAAAGACTGCCGCCCCTCGGCGTCTACCCATCGCCTTACCCGCCGGAGGCAGTGGCAGCTTACTTCCCGGCCGCTGCTGCTGCGGCCGCCGCCTCCCTCAACCCGCCAGATCAACCGCCTTTCTACCCCGCCGTAAGTATTGATATTCATCTAAAATATTCGGTAGATTAGAGAATTTTTGTGATGATAAAACAACAACTTATACGAAAAAATAAAGGTCAGGTCTGAGACATGATCACTTCAATATTGTCAGCAGATTTCAACGAATAACTGTGAACTTCAAAAATTCCTTGATAATAATTATAATGAAATGGAACAGAGTAATACATTGGATATCGTTTACAACGGTTATGAAGGGACGACAGGTTTTTGTACGTTGTAACCAATGTCCGCTGTATCCAATACATCGATTACAACGTAAATGTATGCTATATACAATATGTGTAGCAATACGGGTGGATGTGTTGTAAAACAGAATGAATGTATTGAATGAAATTAAAAAAATCTCCTTTAATGCATACAAAATTCCTTCTACAATATATTGACATTCTTTCACTTAATTAGGGTATATTATCATAATTGTTTACAAACTAGGGTTATTCACGATCATTGTGTTAACCCTGTTGACTCCATTGGGTGGTGTTAGATCAAGAAAAATGATGACGTAGATAAAGGAATGCTTCCAAACTATAGGGCAATTAAAATGTTAATTTGTTTTCAAAACTAGGAAAAATAGTTTAATTATGGTGGGCGGTATGTTTGCACCAAAGGTTTTATTATTTGAACGATGTTTTTTAGTTTGTCTTTTCTTCGCTTTCCGCAGGCTGGAATATTGTCCAATTTCTTATTTGCAAAACTTATATATGTCGATTTAACCATGTTGTAACAGATTCTCATTTTTTCGGTAAATTTTGTTCAGTTGCAAGTATTTTGATAGATTATGGAATAATAGCTGCTTGGTCCTGTACATATTATCGCTGTGTCGCAAACTTTGCTATTTTACGCTTCTCATTTTCCGGAACCCAATGTTACAGAAAATAAAGAATTGGACCTAGATTCTCCTTTGAGGGAATGTCTACATGTTTGTCTGTTAAGAAGGATGTGATAATACGGGTATTCACGATCTTTGTGTTAACTCTGTTAGGTCGTGTTAGAACGACGGAAATGATTACGTAGACTTGTAAGAATCGGCTAGTAACATTGCTCGATTTAACAGGTTCGAAGTAGAAAATGTAGTCAAATTGCTAGCCGTTAAGGCGTAGGTAACCAATATGGCAGCCATGAATTTAACAGCTGTTTTTTGTTTATACGTATTCTTATTCTTAAATGCGAATTAATTAAATCAGACCAATACATTTCTTTTATTAATTTCTGACCTGTCCTTAAACTGTCAATCATAGTGCATACATCCTTCTATTGTATAAAGTTGTAGGCTGTTTGACGTTAGGATACAAGTTAGATATGTCGGCACGAATTGAAGCGTGTCATTTGTTAGTACTTTTCGAGTGCATAAATAGCATTTTGAATGAAAAAGTTGATTAATTTTCCATTTTTGTTAACTTCTGGCACCTTCAATTTCACGCAAAAGAAAACCAAAACAAACAACAAGCCTTCAAGAACTGTTATAGCTTTATTTTTGGTTCTACCAATCGCCACGCGCAGCATTGCGAAAGAATTAACCATAGGTTCACGTATTAGGGCCATTCACGATCTTTGCGTTAACCATGTTAACTCTGTTAGGGCCTGTTAGATTGAGAAAAATGATGGCTGATTGTAAGAATCGGCTAGTTAAGATTGTTAACATTATTAACGATCTGACAGGCCTAGGCCAATGTAAATTATTAGGTCGAAAATGTAGTCACATTGCTGTACGTTAGGGCGTAGGTAACCAACATGGCAGTCATGAATTTAACAGCAGATTTTTGTTTACACTTATTTTTATTTGTGTGGTGATTAGTGACCGTTAAGCGATAATCATTCAGAAATCGTGAGATGCGGTCTGGTGTGATGTAGGTTTCAGAAAAACATTTTCTTTATCGTGCCAACGTTTCGATCTTTATTGAGATCTTCAGGGCTCAAAGTGTTTGTCTTCTGTGTAATTGTGCCATTCTTGCGTGTCGTGTTGAGAGTGCCAATGAGATTTTTTTTAATGTGTGGTGATTCGTGACCGTTAATCAATATTTATTTACAAATCGTGAGATGCGGTCTGGTGTGATGTAGGTTTCAGAAAAACATTTTCTTTATCGTGCCAACGTTTCGATCTTTATTGAGATCATCTTCAGGGCTCAAAGTGTTTGTCTTCTGTGTAATTGTGCCATTCTTGCGTGTCGTGTTGAGAGTATTTTTATTCTCAATAAGCATTAATAAATCAGACCAATACATTTCTTTTGGTAATTTCTGACCTGCCCTTATACTCTCATTCATAGAGATACAGCCCCTATCCTATAAAGTTGTAGGCTGTTAGACGTTAGGATACAAGTTAGGTATTTCGGCACGAATTGAAGCGTGCCATTTCTTAGTACTTTTCGAGTGCATAGATAGCATTTTGAATGAAAGATTTGATTAATTTTCCTTTTTTTATTAATTTCTGGCATCTTACAATTTAACACAAAATAAAGCCATAACGAACGACAAGAAGCCTTCAAGGACTGTTATAGCTTTATTTTTGGTTCTACCAATCGCCACGCACAGCATTGCGGAAAAATGAAAGTTTAACGTGCTAAGAAAAGAAGGGGGTTCACGATCTTACTGGACATTTCTCTATTCGAGTTAACACGAGTTAACATCTTACAAACATCGTGAATTCTTTCTAATTTGTGAAGACATCAGTGATTTTCTCCTGAGAATTATTTTTACATTTTGTAAAAGTCCTCGATTGTTCACGACACGATCAAAAACGTTTCTTTAACGGCCTAAGAGATCACGTTGGTGTGTATGTATGCCCTGAGTATGAAGCACTTCAGCAGTCGATGGAATTTTGCCGAAATCGCCCTCTTCTCTTCTGTTTCTGGTATGGATTCTGTGGGTTGCTGTTCGACGACCTGGGTGTTCTGGATTATAGCTTCGACAGACAACTCCTCTCATGTCACGATATCCATGTCCGCCTCAAGGAACTCGTCCATGGAGTAATTAGCACTGATAGCAGGGATTGTTTCAGCTCCGAGTATATACAGTCAATCTCCGAATAAAACGTCTGATCAGTGGAAGTAAACAGGCCAGAAGCAGTTGACTAGTCTTTTTCCCAACTCAATCCCAAGCCTTCAACAGCAGGATTGCTTCTAGAATAGTGATTTTGGAGTCATCTTTATTTTCAACTGATGTTGTATTGGATCTTCTTGAGGTCATTGCAATGATTGTAATGACCTCAAGACAAATGTAATGGCCTCAAGAAGATCCAATACAACATCCGTTTAAACTACGTAGGTCGATCAACGTCAACTAGCATCTTTATTTTCATTTTTCTGTATCAGTTTGTACGCCAATTCTCTCCGGAAAATACCCTCAAGGTTTTGGATTCCTCCTTGGTTCATTGGTTGGGCAACTGTAGTGGTATTGTGTGGTAAGAAAATCAACCCGGGACCCAGAAAAGTATACGCTCTAAACGGTGTGTACGATGAAAACGGTGTTAATGTAATTTTTCCTATAACATTTCCCGATTCCGGAGATTGTATGCTTTAACCGGTTGTAAGTTCTATCCGATGTCGTTGTAAACGATATCCACCGTAGTTGAAAGAAGTTATTGAAAGTTAGTTCAACAATGAAAGTTATTAAAACAACAGCCCAACATCAGTACGTCGACAAAATCTATTTACTAGTTTTTTGATTTCTTTACAACACTATGCTGGATATAATCAGGACTTTTTTACGTTAAAGACCGGGTTATAAATTTGTATGCGCCTTTTAACAACTCGAACGTTCCGAGTGGAAAAAGGCTTCAATAAAATTCAGGCTAATTTCTGCTATGTCATCTCATGATATATGTACGTTGTCGTCGTAGGCACTTAACACTATGTTATTGGCTTAGCTCCTGTGCCGCTTTATAAATCATGTTCCTAAATACCGTGGGATTAACTCCCGCCGACTTGAACAATGCCCAGCCTTAGCCTCTTAGCGCTGGAAGGACATTTCGTTCTTGAACAAAGGGCTGGAAACAATTTTTTTTATAAACAGTTTACCTGGCTGTTTTATGTTGTTTAGCTACCTTTTGGGTACAGTGTAAACCTACATTGCTAGATCCATAACAATATAGTGAACTATAGACAGTTGTCTATAACTTTACTGTGAAAGTTATTCAGATATCGTGAGATGCGGTCGGGTGTGATGTAGGTTTCAGAAAAACATTTTCTGTATCGTGCCAGCGTTTCGATCTTTATTGAGATCATCCTCAGGGCCTGGGATTTACAAACAATGTTTACATTGTGCCATCCTTGCGTGTCGTGTTGAGAGTGCCAGTGAGATTTTGCTGTTTTAATACTTTATAAATACTTTGTCTGAATATAAAATATATTTTGCATTGTATAAATTCACTTTTCCACATCCTAAATGTATTTGTTAAATGTAAACAATGTTTGTAAATCCCAGGCCCTGAAGATGATCTCAATAAAAGATCGAAACGTTGGCACGATAAAGAAAATGTTTTTCTGAAACCTACATCACACCAGACCGCATCTCACGATATCTGAATAACTATCGATTAACGGTTACTAATCTCTACACATTTACTGTGAAAGTTTCTGTCTATACTACAATCATTCCTTTATTAAAATTCATGTAAGAAAGGAAAAATATATGGTTGGAGCTTTTTTCCGATTTTTTCGTTCAAAAAAGAACGAAACCAGTTGGCGTTGGTCAAAGCCGTGCTTAAGAAAGAATAACAACGAGAAGCAATTGGCCTGCTGAAAATGGATTTTTCTTCCAACCCCGAGTACTTGCTCAACTCAACATTCTTCACGAAGCCGGTGCGTCACGATTTCGATATTATTCTCAATACTAAATTTAAATATTGAAGAGGTTGTCGAAGTGAAAAAACCCTGAAAATATCTCTGCCTACAAAGCAAATCATATTTCATTATAATCTGTCTCTTAAAACTTAGACTTCACGGGTTTTCGACAAGTTAAGTCCTATAAACCTG